TCCCCCAATTCCCCAATAAAAATCTTAAAAAAAAAAAAGAATGTTTGTAAGCCAGTTGACAAAGGCATTATTAAAAATTAAATTATCATAATGTATAAGTAAATAGCTTATATCTAAAACAAAGGCAATACATACCCAAAATGCATCCCTTCCTAATTATTGTATTACATTGTACTATTATATAAGCTCTTGAGGTTATTTAGGCCTATTGTATCTGTATAATAAAAGTATTATATAATGGTGAGTTACTCTGCATTTTTTACCAACTTCTGTTTAGTGATGTCGCATTGATAAAAATTGGCTTAAAATTGGCCACGGGATTATTTACACCACAGAAATTGGCACATGCTACAGACCAGGGCTTTTTCTCTCATTGAGCCAGTTGTTAAACATTTACCAGGACACTACTGTCCTTGTGCCTTGGTCAACGTGGTCTTCATCAGGATAGATGGAAACCAGTGCGAGTCCCGTCCTCTGGTGGACAGAGCCAGGCTGCCTGAGTCCTGGATTCTAGTCCAGGCTGGGCTTCTGGTTTAGTAGGAAGCTCACAGGACAGGAAAACTTGCCCATTAGGTTAGAGGCCCATGAAAATGTTTCGTTTTAATTTCTTCTAAATTTAGAAGAAAAAAAATGAATAGACTAATCACAGATATACAATTATGAGCCTACCCTGAATCATATTCATCTTTGTACCAATGTAGTCATAAAATATAATTTTTACTGTTTTGTTTTTGAAAAGAGGAGCCCACAAAAGTCATAATTCGGCCCTGTGGAGGTTCGGAGATAGGGGTCTGGAAAAATATTGCCGATGTCCTCACAAGGTTATATAGTTGCTGTTACTGGTGGAAACATAGGAATCACTTCAATAATAAAAAGGGTTCTTTTTCTTCTGGTTAGAATTATTATGCAGTCATGAAAAATAACATGTGAAGGATAAATTAGCCTGAGGGAAAGCTCAGGAGACAGCGTGAGGCCCTCAGTCTTGGTGCGCAGCCTGCGATCAGCTGTGTGAGGAATTTGCCGGGAGTGAAGGCAGGAAAGTGAAGAGGAAAAGGAAAGCTGGTGATGTGTTAGTCCAGTGGAATGGAACCTTAGGCAACCATTCTTGGGTGCATTTTTTTCCAAACTGAGCATTGTTTTGCATGCTGCTGTTTTTAATTTGTGTAAATGATATGGTGTTCCTATCTCCTGTTTCTTTTATTTTCACTAAGCACCATGTTCTTAAGATCCATTCATGTTGCTGGGTGTCCACAGCATGGATCCACATTAATGACCTCTCCACTCTCCCAGTGATGGACACCCCACTTCGCCACCTACTCCCTTCCGTCACAGATAATGCCACGTATGTCATTGGTCGTGTCCCTTTTTGACCTGTAAGAGTGTCCCTTTGGGATAAGTAACCAGGAACAGGACTGCTGTTCAGAAGCAGCACCCTGTTTTGCTCCAGGCAGCAAAACCTACCCTCCCCCCACCTTCTGCAGTGTGTGAGGGAGTCTAGAACCCTTGCCCTTGCCAGCAGCTGATATTATCTGGCTTCCTAACAGTTGCCAGTTTCACATATTTCTATTAAACATGCCTCTCTGTCATCATTAATGACTAAATGTGTATTCATGTGCTAACGTGTTAGTTTTAGGTGTTTCCTTCTCTGAATTTGTCCAATCCATTCCTCTCTGTCAGGGATGTGTCCTTGTTTTGGACTATACACGGTCCCTGTTTTCTGCTTTTGCAGATACCTACCTTCATGCTGTCACATGTCTGTTAGCATTGCCCGGGGGGTGTCCTTCATGAAACGGAAAAATCTTAATTTGGATGTAATTAAATTTGCAATGTTTTGTCTGGTGTTTTATGCTTATGAATTTTTGCGTGAGAAGTTCTTCCTTACCCTTAGGTCACAAAATATTTTCCTACATTCATTTTATAGTTTTGGCATCTCATTTAAACATTTCATCTGCCTGGAACTCATCTCTGTATGAAAGGTTAGGTAGAGATCCTGTTTTATTTTTCTCCATATAATAAGCCAATTTTTCAATGCCATCATCAGACCACCCAACCCCTCTTGATGATGCCATGCTTGTCACGTATTAAGTCCCCCAGGTGCACATGAGCCTGCCACTGAGATCTCTGTTCTGTTCCACTGGTCTTCATGCCTATCCCTGCACAGACCCCATGTTGGATTTACCACTATTGTCTTCTAATAACTTCTTATCTGCAGGTCAAGTCTTCCTTCTATACCTTCTTTCATTAAGGTTGACTTAGCTATTTGAGGCCTATATGCCTCCATATACATTTTAGAATAATGTTTTGAAACGTTTTTAAAAATCATTTGGAATCTTTATTGAAATTGCATTGTATTCATAGATTAATTTGTAAAGGATTTTTATCTTTTGATACTAAGTTATCTGTCTGGGAGTACAGAGCAAGTAAGTCTTCTTATTTTCCTGTGTATTTGTTATATTGTGTTGAAAAAAAATACTAGGAATGAAGAAATTGGGGCAGAACAGAGAGAACCAGGGAGCCACAGTAGTGGTGAGGGGGGGACCCTTCCCGTAGCACACAGATGACTACTGTAGCCCAACGCCTGATAAGGTGATGGCCAATCTCTGGTTCAGCCACATTCCTGCTGAGTCAGGTGGGCCAGGTGCTATCAGCCACTATCTCATTTAATCCTTCATCAGCCCTGTGGGGCAGCTACTGCTATTCCTGCTTTACAGGTTCAGCAGGTGAAGAATTGGTCCAAGGCAAGTAGCAGAGGCAGGATTTGGACCAGGCACTGACCCCAGAGTTTGTACTCTTGACCATAAAGCTGTCCACTTCTTCGGTTGCTATTGGGACGGTTCAGTGACAGGGCAACCCTGTACATTCGCGCTGGGCCTTGGGGTGTATTTTTACCATGACCCTGCCTGGCCTTAGCATGTGTTCAGCCTGGCACTTGGAGCTGCTTTTGCAGTGACCCCAGGCAATGAGGAACCCCAGCCCCTCTGCCCTTGCCTGGCCCTGGGGTGAAGAGCCAGCAGAAAAATAGCATACCTCCATTGTTAACTGTACCCCTCACCTACCCTCTCCATATGTACCAAGAAACCCAGTCCATTTGGGGCTCGTGGTTTTGTTGGTCCCACATCCCACAGAGCATGTCTGGGAAAGCCACAGACTAGGGCTTGGGGGATCAGAACGAGGTGATAATTCTTGAACCCAGGGTATGCCCTGAGAGAAGGTGCCAGCAACCCAGGGAGGCCCCAGCCCAACATCAACCCAGCTCGCAGAGTGTCCTTGTGTAATTGCAGGGTCTCTCGGGGCCTCCGTGCCTCGTCCCCACACAGGGCTGGTCCACTTGGCAGAGCTGTAGAGGAATCTGGAAGGGAGCTTTAACTTTCACACCCCTCCTAGTTTACATACAAGTTGCATAGGGTCATGCTTTCCACAAAGGCTCCACATGGTTTTTCTTTAAGCCAAGGGGGGTCTCAGGGAGCCAAGACCACTGACTCCTGCTGAGTCCGTGTTGGGCGCTTTACTTTTGTCACCTCAATTAATGCTCTCAGGACAAGGAAAGGACTTGATCTCAACTTTACAGAGGGGGAAACTGAGACACAGAGAGGTGAGGTGGCATGGCCAGGGTCACACAGCCCCAAAGTAGCAGAGCCAGGATTTGAACCCGGGCCTGTCAGACACTATCGTCTGTATCTGTATCTGTGAACAGGTTGGTAACGCTGAGGCTTTGGGATAAGGGGAGCTGAGCTCTTCAGGTGAGAAAGAGACGTCTGTGAAGATAAGCCCCCAAACCCACCAAATGTGCGCACAAAAACTGATGTGTGTATAAAAGTGTGGCTTAACTGGTGTAATGTCCACACCCTAGGATTTCCCTTCCAGGAACACAGCGACTTGCGTAAAACAAGGGCGCCCGCCTTCCTGTCTTTCATCTGTTTGCTGGTCCAGTTCCTGCCAGAGCTTGGCATCTGGGAGGAGGCTGGCAGCCCAGGGGCTGTGGGGAGGGTCTAATAATAACTTCTCACCTGTAGAGGGTGCTTGACCGTGCCCAAAGCCCCTGGAGAGGGTGGGGATTGGGTAGGGGGTGAGATGCCCTCGATGGTTGGTAAGTAAAGGCTACAGTGGGGACATGAACATGTGGGGTGGGGTTTGGGGAGGGGGACGGATACCAGTGTCTGCCCTCCTGGTCGGGGCAGGCTGGGCAGGGGTGCTGCTGCTGTCTTTCTGCATCTCTCCCTCTCTCTGCCTTCTCTCTTTGTGTCAGCTTGTCTGTTTTCTCTCTCTCGCTCCATCTCTCAACCCCCTCCTCTATCTCTGTTATCTCTGCCTCTTTTTGTTTCCTACTGAGGAAACAGTACACGTTTGCTACATAGAGGTCCAGCCACAGGAAGTGACAGACCCAAGCTGGGTCTGGCCAGAGATATTCCCCGAGCTCAGGGCCCTGTCAGGCTGGTGCCAAACTCACATCCTCCTATTCAGCCAGCAAATATTTTCAGGGCCTGAAATGCACCAGGGCTGGGCTGACCAGGTGAGTGAGGCTGTCAAAGTGCCTGCTCTGTTGAGCTCAGATTTTGGAGGAAAGGTCCTCCCTCTCTCAGCTTAGCCCAGCCCCCTTCCCTGGCCTGGCCCCTCTGCCCTGGGCTGTACATAGCCCTAGACCTCCACCCCACGGTGACAGCAGATCAGAGGTTGGACCACCACGCGGCAGAGTGGGTGCTGAGGGGCTTTCTTGAGGTATTACACCACTGAGTATGTGGCATTCTCTGAAATTTAGTGCCCTGGAGAACTGGAGGGCTGCCAGCCCCCGAATGGTGGGGACTCTTCTGTGAAAATAGGCTCTGGTGGGACTAGTTGAGACCAGGAGCAAGCTGGCTGGGAGGACCAACCCCCCTAACAAACCTCCAATTCACAGCGGCCCCAGTGCCTGAGAGGATGATACCTTCCAAATGTCCCTCACTACAGGCAGCCAGAGGGTGGAACTGTAGAAGGGCAGTGACAAGAGAGAAGAAGGGGGAGGCTGGGGGCTCCTTTGAGGGGCTGTGCCAACCAGCTGTGCCCTTACTGAGACCAGAAAGTGGGCGATGGGAGACATAGGTGCTTTGCTATGAAGACGGGGAGTGAGGCATGGCGGCAGGGGTGACAGTGTGGCTCTGTGCTGGCAAGGATCTCAGTATTATAGGAACTTTAGACTTCTGTAGTCTTGGATGTGTGGACTCTCAGACCATAGCTGAAGCTCCGTGGGACCTTTGAGGTCATGTGGTCCAATCTGGTCCCCTCCCCAGCCATCTGTACAGACATGGAAACTGTGGCCCAGAAGGAGGCAGGGAGCTGTCCAAGGTCACACAGCAAGTCAGAGCTGAGTCCAGGGCGCAGGGCCAGCCCCCTATTCGTGTGACGTCGTGTGGGTCTGCTCTACTCGTGCAGGACCAGAAGAGGAGGACACGGCACTCTGGCTTGGGAAGTAGAGCATGATGAACCAGCAGAAGATGAAGACACCTGTGGTGGGGAGAGGCACCAGTGAGCCTGGGGTTTGGGGGCGGTGACAGGGGCTGGGCTGCTTGGCTGGCAGCTGCCCGGAGGAGAAACAACCCCATTGTAAAAGTTCCAGAACTTATGGGAAAATCAGGCAAAAATGAAACCTACTCCAGAAAAAGAGCCAAGTAGAAACCTTGGAGTCCTTGAAAACACATATACAGTGTACTTGTGGTTTCTCTTTCCACGATTTTAGTTCCCCGCAGTCAATCATCGTGGCTCCACAATCCGGGATCACCCGAAGCAGAGTGACCTAGTGTCAGGAGGTCAATAGTAGCCCAGCAATAGGTCACAATGCCTATGTCATTCGCCTCACCTCATCGCATCACATACACATTGTGCCATCTCACATCATCACAAGAAGGACAAGTACAGTACAATAAGATAGTTTGAGAGACAGACTACAGTCACATAACTTTTATTACAGCACATTGTTGTAGTTCTTTTATTTTATTATTAGTTACTGTTGCTAATCTCTCACTGTGCCTAATTTATAAATTAAACTTTATCATAGGTATGCATGTATAGGAAAAAACATAGTGTAAATGGCTCATACTACCCATGGTTTCGGGCATCCACTGGGGGGGGCGGGGTTGCCTTGAAATGTATTCCCTGCAGATAAGGGGAGACTACTGTATACAAACATCTATCACCAATAAGAAAGAACAAAATAAAAGAATTTTCAGACCTACAACATGACCACCACCACAGTGGGTTTCTCCCACTGCCCCCCATATAAAGGATTACTGCAGGATGCACTTCAGCAAGAAGAGGGAAGGTGTGAGGTATAAAAATCATCGTAAGTACAGAAATTGATAAAAATAAAAGCTTCGTGTGTGTTTAAGAGAAATGAACAACTAAAGCTCTAAACAACAATAAAAATACTGAGAAAAGTTCAAGGGCAATTAAAGTATGCTGAGGACTCCATTGTATTTGAGAGGAAGGTAGAGTACTGAGTAACTCACACTCAGTAGAAACAACTCAGAAAAGTGAAGTATTATGGGTAACCTCTGAAAGAATAATGATATGATCTACAGCTTTAAGGTATATCTCCCTCCAGCCTTTAACCTGTTGGATTTTCCAGAGGTGGACTCATGATTCTTCATCTGGGGACCATCTTAAATGGCCTAATAATAATGGCTTCTGTTGTTAGTAAGATAGTTTTCACATACTGAAGGCCAATTAAATTGCCCATGTGCATTATCTCAGTTATTCCTCATGAAACCTGGTGAGATAAGTGTTGGGGTTATCACAACTATACAGATGATTGGATGGATCAGAGGACCTGAGCAACCTGCCATGGTGATGAGTGGAGCTGGGATTTGAACCCAGGTCTGCCTGTTCCCAGTGCTACCAACCACGATGCCACACAGTCTCATGAGGCATTGGGATCCAGCCCTGCTTTTGCGGGCTTGCACCCGCTGGATCTAGGACCCCTGGGTCCCCAGTGACTCCTCTGGACGGGATGAGACTGTGAGTCAAAGTTTGTTTCTCGGCTGTTTCCCTCATAGGCATGCTGTGAGGCTTTTTAAAGCTGTGTGTGTGAAACATGGGTGTGAGGAGCACAGAGGACAGGTGAGGGCAGGGAAGCTGTGATTCAAACCCTGGCGCCTGCCCCTTTGCTGGGAGCATCAGAGGAAGAACCCTGTGGGGGCAGGGAGCAGATGTATCCATCATTTCCTCTAGGAATCATTTCCTTCCTGCCTCCACAGCTCCTTAGAGACTCTGTGCACGTCACGTGGCCATCATGTCACATGACCCTGTCCTCCTGGTCACAGCTGATTGGACCAGAGAATGTGGAAGAGAGTGAATCAGACCATGGTCACTGGACTTGGAAGGTCATGTAGGGTTGAGGTGGCCATATTGTTAGCCATTTGGGGGCCACGGGTAGGAACGGACCGGCGGAGAGAGAAGAAGGGAGTTAAAACAGACAGAAGGTGAGACGCTACATATAGTTCCAGAAGAAAAGATGGAGAAAGTATCTGCTTTGGTTTGGGTGGCTTTTCCTGAGCTTGTCACCAGCTCCCATGAGGTCAGCCAGCCTTCCTGCCCTGGGGATTTGGGGAGAGCCCTGGCTGTTTAAAATCGGTACACTCTAATTTGAGCTGACCTGAGTAGAATCCTGTTTCTTGCAAACCACTCCCTCCCCACCTCCCAACACCCCATGGTGCAGACACGGCAGCCTGCTGCCACCCTGGCCCAAGAGTCTCACCTTGCAGGGAGTTGAACAGTGTGAAGACATAGATGGTTGACAGGCCCAGGGGCGTGAGGATGGCCAGCCCCCATGTCATGCCCACCAGACTTGAGAGGCCCAGCAAGGTGAGGAACCCTTTCCAGTGCTTCCGCTGCTGCTTGCCTGCTGTGGCACTTGACAGAGTGAAGATCTTCCAGGCCACCAGGCCCAGGACCACAGCGCTGAAGAGGAAGATGATGAGGAAGTAGCCATGGACAGTGATGTAGAGGGCAATGATGGAAGTATCCTCACTGAACCAGCACCTGATGGGAGATGAGTGGCCTTTGGAACTGGGAGAGGTGCCCATGCCCCAGGCAGTCTCCCCTGACTGACCTTCAGTAACCAAGAAGACGCCTTTCCCCGGCTCCATCTCCCTGTTCTCCTAGCAAAAGGGCTCTCAAGAGGCTCCAGTCTGCTGTCTCTTTAGGCCAGTGGGTGCAAAAGAGCCAATTTGGCCCCAAGGACAAGTTTCATTGGCCCCACGTCATCTTGTAAAAAAATTAAATTAATGGCCATCCTTTAAAAAGCAGAAGGTTTGGCATAAACATCCAGATGTCTGCTTCTGTTGTAAAACCATACAGCTCAGTGGATGTTCTCCTCAGCAACAGTAATCAGCTGCCCACTAGATAGGTATATGACTGCCAGTCTACCGCAGTCCCCACCTGGACCACCACATGCACTTATGTTACCTGCTAGACTCCTGTGGCCCCTATATTTACAGACCTGGGGAAAGGACCAAGGCCCCACCAGCCCCTCTTAGCACAGAGCAGTGGGTAGGTACCCTGGGAGAGGCTGAGCTCTGCCCCACTGCTCCCTGCACTACAGGGGTGAAAGGCCCCAAAGAGCATGTCAATCAGTGCCCCCCCCCACCACCACCATTGTGCAGATGAGGAGACTGAGGCCTGGAGAGAGGATGGACTTGCCAAAACTCACACAGCAACGCAGAGGCAGAGCCTAGATAGAGCCAGGGCTGCTGGGAAGGGCTGGGCAGGTTGTGCACGTCACAAGGGCACCTGGCTGAGGGGACAGGTGGGGGCTGAAATCCAGCTTGCTCTCCACTCACCAGGCTGAGTGCGTGGCATGGCAGACTGGCAGTAGGGGTGGAGGGTACCTTCTAAAAAATTGTCCAAAAGTGCCATATAGGCTTGTGTTGTCCCAGACTAGAGCAAGGCATCCTGCCTCCTGGTCCAGTTCTCTCGCCTCCTTTTCAGGACCCCTCGCTCATTGCACGTCCTGTCTCCTGGCCTCAGTTTACCCCTCCAGGCCATGAGCTAGCTGCATCTGAGGATCCTTTGCCTTGACTTACTCAGCCTCTCCTCCCAAGGTTCCCTCCTCTCCCCACCTCCCTCTGGCCGTTATGTGTAGCCAGGGACCTGACCTCATCTCTGCTCCCACAGCCACCACTCACAACTCCAGTGAGGTCCTGTTCTCCTCGTCACGAATGGTGTAGAGGCCATAGCTGTTGGCAATCCCGGTGCCAATGACCATTAGGGTTGGCAGACCTGGACGAGAAGAGGAGGCATGGCATTGCTGGGGCTCCTGTGGCTTGTTCTCTTCCAAATCCCCCTAGCTGCCCATCCCTCGAGCCCTGAGCCTATCTGAGATGTGCAGCTGCCCCTCTACCCTAGGCTGTTCCCCTCGCTGTCCCTACCAGGTCACCCATCCCTTTTGCCTATCCAGGCAGCACCTACCCCAGCCCACGAGGCTCAGCTTCAGGAAGTAGCGCTCAAAGTAGGTGTTAAATACCCTGATGACAAGCAGGTAGAGGTGTAAGGCTTCCAGGGCCATCCAGGTGAAGACACAGAGCAGGAAGTAGTGGAAAATGGCCCCCTTAACCCAACAGGTGCCTTTAGACACCTGTGGGTCATGCCCCACATTGATGAGGAAGACTAGATTCAAGAGAAACAAGCTAACACTCAAGGCCACGTGGATCTTGGGGGCATCTTCTGACTTGAACCTCTGCTGGGAGAACCTGGGGAGAGAAGGGCCAGCCAGTGAGAGGCTGCAAGAGGCCACAGCATCCAGGGGACACCCAGGCCTCTCCACCCCACCTCCTCTCTTCCACTCCTGCCAGCAGCCAGAGTGTGAGGGCCCTCAAGTTCCAGTCCAGGAGCCCTCTCACGGCCCCTCGGATCCTGCTGGTCTCATCCCTCAATTTGACGCTTTAGCCAAACTGCATAACTTGTAATTCCCGGAATGCGTTCTGCTTTTCCACGCCTCCCAGACGTTGCCCACGCTCCTCCTTCCACTCTCAATGCCTTCCCCTACTCTGTCTTCAAAACTCTCCTTGAGCATTTTCTTCTGGGGACACTGTCTCTGAATATCCCTCCTTCCGGGGCTGCTTTGGGCTTCCCAGCAGCCCAGTGTAACTGTTTACCTTCCCCTCAAGGATGCAGGAGGCATAGGATGTAGTAGAACAGAGAGGCTCCGAGAGGGACAGGAGCTCTTCAGAGTCACAGAGCAGAGCAGGGGCCCCAGGCTCCCAACCTAGAGCTTTTCCCCAGGGTTCACCTCCATCTCTATGGAGCTCGCACTCTGAATTCTTAGCAAATTAGGTCCCAGAGGTCTCTCCCACGAGGGACGGGAGCCCGGGGCTGCCTGGAGGGCACATGAAGGATAATGTCTACCTCACCTGGGATGCCAGGCACCACCCTTGGGAGCTGGTAGCAATTCCTCCTGGCCCTCCAAGTTGGCTCACAAGGCCCAGGAGTGCAGCCAGCGGGCAAGTCACGCTCAGCTTGTTGGGAGTGGGGGCCGGTATCCTAGGCCAGGGCTTGGGGAAGGGTGGCGGGGGTGGCACTACTTACACCCATGGTTGAGTCTGAGCTGGAGTGGGTGAGGCCAGTGGGGGCTGCGGCCCAGGGCCAAAAGGTGACAGAGGCAAAGAGACATGTGGCGAAGAGAGCGGGAGGGCCCTGGTCTGGGAGTCAGGAGACCTAACGGCTGCTCCAGAACAGTCATGGGTCAGGAGGCTGGGGTGCAGCGCTGCTCTCACAGGCTCCTTCAAGCTGGCAGTTCCTGTGGGTCCCTGAGCCATGGTCTGGCCCTGGGAGATCCTGGGTACAGGCTGCAGCAGTCTCTGCTGTTTCTGCCTATCCTGTACCCACTCCTCCTTAGTCCAGAAGCAGCCTCAGCTTTTCCTGAGGGGCACACTTTCCCGCTCTCAGCTATGAAGTTTGGGTGGGGTTGGCCCTTTGTTAATGCAAACCCAAGAGCAGGCACGTGACCTGTCCTGACCAATCAGTTAACCCATCCCTTGACCAGTGACCTGTGCAATCATGGGTACATGGTCCAAAGTAGACCAGTAAAACTCGACTTTGGTATACATGTGATAAAACTGCATAGAACACACACACACACACACACACACACACACACAGACGAATGCATGTAAAAAATGGTGAAAACTCAATGAGGTCTGTATTCTAGTTAGTAGCACTGTACCAAAGTCAGTTTCCTGGTTTTTTATGTTATACTAAAGTTCTAGAAGATGTCATCTTTGGGGAAAGCTGGATGAAGAAACCATGGGACTCTAGGTACTATAATATTTTTGCCACTTCCAGTTAGTCTTTAATTATTTCAAAATAATAATAAAAAAAATTTAAGACCTCAATTCTGGAACTCAGTGTAGGCTATTAACTGTCTAGTCCGCGAAGAAGCTGTGGTGCAAGCCTGAGGCTCCCTCTGAGTGCAGAGAAGCCGCCTGACATAACAGACAGAGGAGAAAGCAAAGTTGTGAGAAGTAGAGGGAGACCAAGTCCTGGGGACATAGTCCTGGATCCAACTGCGCCTGAAGCGAGCACCCCTTAGGTTTTCCAGTTACGTAAACCACACATTCCCTGTTACGTTTAAGCCCGTTTGAGCTGAGTTTCTGCCACTTGTAACTGAAATGGCCCCAACGTATTTCAACCTCTAACCCCATTTTATAGATGAGGGAACTAAGGTTTGGAGAGGGTGTCAGTATAATGCTGCATGACCAGGGTGCTTTTTACCTACACTGCTGCCGCCCTTGAGGGCTGGAAGGAGTAGGCATGGGGTGACCCACCTCAGGACAATGTAGAGGACAACGGTGAAGGCCAGGAAGATCATGGAGGTTCCACACCCAGCCTGGGAAATGCGTGTGAGGGCGTTCACGGTGACTTTGTCCAAGACTGGCCTCTGTGGGCAACCCCCCAACAGGGACCCGTCAGTTGGAGGCCAGGCCCACGTACCCCTAAGGGCCTGGCCTCCGCCAGGCAGCCCCCTTCCAGGACAGGAGTCTGGGCTCCTCCAGAAGTGTTTGGATCAAGGTGGGTGGGCTGTTACCAGCAGCAGGGCGAAGAAGGTCAGGTGGTCACAGCGGCACACAGTCCCTTTGGCTCCAACCTCTGTGGAGCAGCCCTTGGAAGACCAGTCTCCTGTTGACCCTGGAGTGAAGGGGAGGAAAAGGGAAGAGGAGAACCAAAGAGGAGAAGAGAGGGACAGAGGAGGGAAGAGAGGGGTGGAGCCCTTCCCCACCAAGGGAGCCCATACCTTCCCCACCTATCCTACCCGGAGAAGGTCGTCGTCCAGGCCCTACCTTTAGTCACATCCCAGAATACACAGGTGAGGGTCATGTTCTGAAACCAGAGAGTGGGAGTCAGGGGAGAGGCAGGGGGAGGTTGGGAAGGGAGAGAGGAGATTGTGGGGAGGGGCTGGGGAGAAGACAGCATGCTCCCGTGTCTTAGCACATGTGTGCATTAGGTAGAAATCAAGGCTTACCCTATGGTCATACAGGAACGTGCACTGCACCATTTAATGTAGCCTGGATCAGTGTGTAAGGGGCGTGGATAAGGTGATGGGCTGTGGGTAGGAGGGTTGCGTGTCTGTGGGTGGATGTGTAAAGCCATGTGCATGCATGTGGGTGTGCAAGGTCCTATGTGCACCTCTGTGAGCACATGAGTGGGAGGGTCCCGGGGGGGCATGTGGGCACACGTGCACAGGGTGAGCGTGTGTCCCTGTGCACACTTGTGTGTATGACCCTAATGTCTTCTCCTGGGTGGGTGTGGAGGGCGGAGGATGCAGAGTCCCATGCATGTCTGTCTATATGCCCAGGGGTGTCCACCCACCTGTCTGCCCCTCAGTAACTGCCAGGCCTGGGTGAGGGACTCACGGGAGGCTGACTCTGGTGGGAGAAGGTGATCTCCAAAGGCTCGGCCAGCCCGGTGACACGCATGCGGCCGAAACTCAAGCCCACCAAGCGATTGTTCAGCACTCTGCCGTCATCCTCCAGGCTGAGCCGGGGACCCTATGGAGAGAAATGGGGGAGGTGAGGCTGCATAAGGGGCTGTCCCAACTCAACCCTGGTGGGGCTCCTGGGAGCCTCCAGGACCTGAGACCACAGGGTCAGAGGGCCAAGGACTCATGGGTTACATTCCTCCTGCTGCTCCCTTAGTCTCCTGCTCAGGCTGGGCCAGGGTGGGCCCTACCATCCAGGCCAACTGGACACAAAGCCAAGTACCTGAAGGCTCTCCATCACTGGCCTCCAGAGCTCCTCTGCCCTCTTACCTGAAGGGGCACAGGGCCAGAAGAAAGATCAGCCCAGGAGTGGAGGGCAGTGGGTGCCTACGGGGGGGTGAGCACCTGACTACACCAGCACTTATGATACACATGTCTATTGTGAGCAGATACATGCCCCTGGGGGCACACACGGTGCACATTTGCCAGGGCATGGGTACACTTGCTCACATGGACATGGCCATACCAGAGCACACATGATTATGCGTGCCCCGGGAATAGGATGGGATATGCATGTTTGTGCATGCACAAGGATACACAGGGGGCTTGGACACACAGGAATACACATACAAGTCCAAGGACGCTGGTGTGTGGGGTCTGAACATCTGAGTGTGTGTGACCAGTGTGAGTCTGAAGCCTGCAGACTCTAGAGGCAGGGGGTCTGGGATAACCATGGGCTACTTTATAATCACTCTCCAGAGGCTCATGCCCTCCTCCGTCCCTAGCTGGTTCCTTAGGGAAGACTCCACGGAAGGCAGGTATTGCCTCGTGAACCGAGCCCTGAACCTCAGAGCTGCTCTGAGCCTCCATCCCCCTCACCTTGAAGACATTCCCTGCCCCGATGTCCAGGACAGATATGGCCAGGCGGACCTCCAACTTGCTGCTCTGCAGGGATGCAAACAGGCTCCTGGGCAGCCGAACTCTGTCCGGCGGCTTGTGTTCGTGCCCCATCATCTGCATCGGAATCTGTAAACACGGACTCAGCGGCTCCATCTTTACCCAAGGATTCCAGCCCCCAACACAGGTCCTGCCACTCCCTGACAGGGAAGGGAAACTGAGGACACTGGGTGGAGGGGCAGCACCTGAGGACCTTAGCTCTGAGAGGCGGGACGTCTGGGGGCACAGTCCAAGTTCTGCTCTGTCCAGGCTGTGAGCCCCTGGACAAGTCACAGCACTCGCTCGTGCAGCCTCGGGTTTCCCATTATGGAGAGTGGAGCTAACAAGGCGCCTGCATGACCACCTGTCAGGCTGAAAGTGGGCTGTGAAGTGATGACACCTGGGTGAGCTCAGTTTGCAAGTGTGAGGGAGGGTCAGCTGTGGTGCGCTTTTGCCAGGTCCTGACAGCCCCTGGGGCTCCACAGGGCGTTACGGTGACGGTTTCTGTCTTCTGACTCGGGAATAAGTCGAAAGAACAAGGGAATCAGGGAGGGACATAGTGAGGGCAGAGGTGTAAGGCAGGGTATAAGAATTCACACTGAATGTGACTTCCAACCAATTGTGCAAAAGCTAAGAATGCTCAAAATATTAAAATAAATCTCACTGGTAATTGCAAAGCATATTTTGTTCATTTTCTGACCTTCCTGTTCCCCTGCAGCCATATCCTGATGCCATCTGACCCTGCCTCACAAGTGTCCCTGGAGCATAGGAACAGGGAAGCTAAGGATGACAGCTGAGGGCTCCAGCTTTCTCCCTCCCAGTCTGGACCCTGTGGGTAATTTCTGGGGCCAGTGCATACCTCACACAGAGGGCTCACCTGATTGGGTGACATAATAAAGGGTTGAGAAAGGCCCTACCCACCTTCCATCTCCCCTTCTGCCCAGACAGACCTAAAAGTACCTCTTACCCGATGCCTGGCCTTTCGCCCTCGGCTTCATTCTTTAAGAGGCTGCGCCCTTGATGTGCCAAGCACTCCCTATGAATTATCTCATTGGCTCCCCAGGTAGACTTGAAAGTGGGCAATACCATCATCACTTTACAGATGGTGAAACTCAGCCACAGAAAAGTTAAGTAATTTGCCCAAGATTACAATAGCTGCTAGGCAGCAGAGCTGGGATTTTAATCAAGACCAATGTAAATCCAGAGTCCGCAGTTCCACCCTTTTCAGGACCACTAAGTATGCTTTTACTGGTTTCTTCCACCCTTTACTGGGAGGAAGTTCCTTTACAGGAACTTCGGGCTTTGGAGAAGCTTTAGAGCTCATTTTACAGATGAAAACTCCAGGACCCAAGGACAGAAGGAATTTCCCAGAGGGCACCTCGTGAAGTAGTGGGACGTCTAGGAATAGAACCCAATCTCCTCATGCTCAATTTAATGATTTTCCAAATGTCTCATCCTAGCAACCTAGATAATCTGTTACCAGGACCCAGTCATCTAATTAATTCACTAGCATCCATTAGCAAGGTGGCAGGGCCCTATCTTAAGGGACGTGGGAGGGATAAGTTTTAACAGGCACCCAGCGCACAGGCCGTGACCCTCAGAATTCTGAAAAATATGCCTGAGGAAAACATGCCAGAGCCAACCAATAGGGATGGGGACACTCTTCACCTGTGAGGGGGTCAGAGAGAAGTGAAGGTCTTCTGAGATGTTGGTGCTGAAGTTCTTGACAAAAGTCTTCAAAAAAGGCAAATCCACCTTTTCCTTCAGACTCTTCTCCACCAGGTGGATCTCGTAATCCAGCCAGTATCTGCAAGGGGCCAGGATCAGGGGCAAGGTAGGGTCTTGCAAGCTGAGTTACCCACTCAACTGGTCCCCAGCCTGGATGGCAGGAGGGGAGAGACCATGGGCAGCAATCATCAGGCTCCTGGGGTAGGAGAGGTGACCCAGGATATCAAAGGGGAAACCCTAGGATCTCTAAGGAGAAGAGGGGTGGCATGGGAACAACCCACACTGGTTCTGAGGGATTCCAGCCCGCAGTTTTTCATGTGTTTGTCTTTTCGTGATGACATAAAATTTACCATTTAAACCATTTTAAAGTGTACAATTCAGTGGTGTTAAATATACTCACAGTGTGGGACAACCATCATCACTATCTAGGTCCAGAACATTTTCATCACCCCAAAAGGAAACCCTGTACCCATTAAGTAGTCACCCCCTTTTTTCTTCCCCCAGCACCTGGCAACCACTAACCTGCTTTCTATCTCTGTGAATTTGCCTATTCTGGACATTTCATATAAATGGAATTATATGATTGCTGGTCTTTTGTGCCTGGCTTCTTTCACTTAGCATAATGTTCTCAAGGTTCATCTATGTTGTAGCATGCATACATATTTCATTCCTTTTTATGGATGAATGATATCTCATTGTATAGATAGACCACGTTTTGTTTATCCGTTCATCCACTGATGGACATTTAGGTTGTTTCCATGTTTGGGCTATTGTGAATAGGGCTGCTATGAACATTGACATATGAACTTTTGTTTGAAGACTTGCTTTTAGTTCTTTTGGGTATATGCTTAGGAGCGGGATTGCTGGGTCATATGGTAATTCTGTTTAACTTCTTGAGGAACTCTCAAACTGTCTTCCACAGCAGCTGCACCATTTTACATTTCCATCAGCAATGCATGTTTCAGTTTCTCCATGTACTTGCCAATGCTTGTTATAATAGTTTTCATTTTGTTTTTAATTGTAGCTATCCCAGTAGGTGTAAAGTGGTATCTCATTGTGGTTTTAATTTGCATTTCCTTAATGAGTAATGATGATGAGCATCTTTTCATGTGCTTGTTGGTTTTTGTATGTCTTCTTTGGAGAAATTCCTCTGAGTATTTTAAACTGTGGAATGATAATTGTGTGGTGTGGGTGAGCACGTCATCACATTTATTGTGTGCTATCAGCAGACTGGGAATTCGGTGTTTGGACATTAGCTGTGTGGGAACTGACTTATGGGAACTGAGCTGTTGTTGGGACCACACAGAACATAAAAGTGAATTGACCTTTATTTTACTGCAGTCCCCTTACCTCAGATAAAATATTAGGGTGAGGCAAACCCGTGGCACTCTCTGTGATACTGAAACTTCACTGAGTGCCAGCGTTCCTTTTCCTAAGACCTGGTGCCTGGATGGGGGCTGAGATAGCAACGGGAGGGAAGGGGAATAAAAGCAGATACAGCCAATGGCCAGCAGAATGGCTCAGTTGGTTAAGAGCGCAAACTCTGAGCAACAGGGTCACTGGTTCAATTCCCACATGGGCCAGTGAGCTGTGCCCAAGCTGAGCTGCCACTGAGCTGCCAACAGGTGGCAGGATGGCTCAACTGGTGAGAGCACGTGCTCCTAAACAACAAGGTTGCCGGTTCGATTCCCACATGGGATGGTGGGCTATGCCCACCCGCAACTAAGTTTGAACACGGCACCTTGAGGTGAGTGACTGCAAGCTGCCGATAGGCGGGCAGATGGCGACTGGACTTGGAGCTGAGCTAGCTGTGCCCTCCACAACTAAGATTGAAGGACAACAGCTTGGCTGTTCCCCTTCCCCAATTCCCCAATAAAACCTTCAAAAAAAAAAAAAAGCAGCAGATACAGCCAGATAAAGGCTGTTGGAAAGAAGTAGCTATGGAGGGCTTGCCAGGGAGACAAAAGGAGGCTTTTATTTTGACATCACGTTTGAATAATCACAGTTGCCAAAGGGAAAAAACCCTCAAAGAAACCACAGAAAAAATATTGTAAAATATAAGAATAAGCCATACAAATATGTGTGCAAATGCGCTTGGGTGGGGCAGAAAATTAGAACACCATCCAGCCAGAAACACTGGGACGACATTGTCCAAACCCATCAATTGAGCTACATCAGCTGATTTCAGCTTTTATTTACCTTTTAAAAATCTAGGCAAAGAAGTATTGTGATGGTCACTGTTACCAAATAAAATAGTGAATTGTATTTCACAATATATATAGTTTATCTCATACATTTTAGGAAAACTCCTTGGCCTCACAGAATAGCCCAGTTCACTTTCTTGAGGGAAGATTTCTGACCTGGTTCTCAAAGCACTTTTAAAAATTATTTTAGTTGTGGAATATAACATATATTCAAAAAGTCTAAATTGTAGATATACAGTTGAATTTTTAATTACAAAGTTGACACCCATTTAAGCATCATCTTCTTTGTCTGATGTTACTATAGCTGTTTAGATTTCTTTTGGTTCATGTTTGCATAGTACATACTTTTCCACATTGTGCCTGTTTTTGGGGGTTTTTTTTCCATGGGAAGTGGTGTGAGGTTCAACAAGCTGTCTTTTACCTTGGAGGGGACATCTTGACGTTCTCCTGATCTCTGAGTGCCCAGAAAATCCAATGAGGTGATGGGCTCCTGAATTCTTGTGGGGTTTTACCTCCTATCTTCTAGTTCACACGTATCTTCCTAAGGCATCTTAAGTACTTGTCACATTCTGCTCATCAAATCTAATCAGCATAATGTTGTCAAGATAGTGGACGAGTGAGGTTTTATAGAATGTCAAGATTAATAAGATCCCTGTGAACTCTATTATGACAGAGATGCGAAGAATTGACACAGCCCCCAAGGACACATAGTTAGCTCTGCCAAGTAAAAGTAAACTGCTTCTGGTAGTCCTTGAAAATTGGCATGGAGAAAAAGGAATTAACCATGTAATAGCAGCATATCGATCATCAAGGGCTGTATTGATTTGTTCAAGTAAACATACTCATCTGGGATAGCAGCTGCAACGGGACTCACCACCTGCTCAAGTTTACGAGAGCCTACAGTCATTCTCCAAAATCTACCTGACTTCTGGTGAGTTAAATGGAGTAGGGATGGGTATCCCTACCCCTGCTTCTTTCAAATCTTTCATGATGGCATTATCTCTGTAAGGAGGTAGTTTTGTTTCTGGATTACTATCTTGGTAGGGAGAAGACATTCCATGGGCTCTCATTTAGACCTTCAACGGAACGCCCGCCCAAAAGCAATTCAATGGAGACAGCATAGGCTTTTCAACAAACAGTGCCCAACTATTAGATACCCAAATGCAAAAATAGTAGTAAAATAGTATAAAGTTAGACATTTACCTCACACTGTGCACAAAAAATGAACTCCAAATGCATAACCTAATTATAAGAGCTAAAACCATATACTTGTAGAAGAAAACTTAGGAGAAAATCTTTGTAACCTTGGGCTAGGTGAAATTTCTTTGATATGATACCAAATACATGCACAAATTTAAACTGGACTTCATCAGAATTAAATGCTTTTGATCTTCCAAGGAGGACATCATGAAGAAAATAAAAAGATAACACATACACTGGGAGAAAATATTTGCTAATCATATATCTGATAAAAGACTTGTACCCTGACTATATAAGGAATTCTTAAAACTCAATAATAAGAAAATCCATTTTTTAAAAAACAGGGAAAGATTTGAATAGTTATTTCACCAAAGAAAATATACAAGTGGCTAAAAAGCACTTGACAAGATGCTCAACATCATTAGTCGTTTTGTGAAAAGCAAATTAAAACCACAGTGAGATATCACTTCATGCCCACTGGAGTAGCAAGTATGTGTTGAAACCAGTTCTCTTACACAGCCGATGAGAAAACAAATGACACAGCCACTTTGAGAAACAGTCTGGCAGTTTTGGGGGGTTTTTTNAGTATGTGTTGAAACCAGTTCTCTTACACAGCCGATGAGAAAACAAATGACACAGCCACTTTGAGAAACAGTCTGGCAGTTTTGGGGGGTTTTTTGTTTTTGTTTTTTAAATAAAACTAGCATATCCTTACCATAGATCCCAGCAATTCTTTTCCTAAGTATCTACCCAAGAGAAATAAACACATATATCTACAATGACTTGAATTTATGGCATTCACGGCAACATTATTGGTAATAACCCCAAACTGGAAACAACCCAAATGCCCATCAATTGGTGAATGAATAAACCAAATGTAGTATATCCATCTGATGGAATATTACTGCACAATAAAAAGGAACAAACTATTGATACATGCTAAAATATGAATGACAATCAAAAACATTATGACAAGTGAAGAAAGCCAGATGCAAAAGATAACATACGATATGGTTCTCTTATATTAAATGCCCAGGATGGGCAAATCTATATTGTAGAAAGCAGATCAATAGCTTCCTTTGGCTGGGTATGAGAGCAGCGATGAATTGAAACAGGCACAGGGCACTTTGTAAAGTACCAGCAGGGCATTTGGTGGTCTTAGTGGTGGGGGCAAGGGGGAGAGGAAGAAACAAACCTGGGTACTAGAAAGGCCTCAGATATACAGCTGATTTCTCCTCCAGATAATTTTCAGAATTCTAAAACTTCATAGTCTGAGAGGACTTAGCTAAGCGGAAAACTGTGAAAACCAGAGCAGAGGTTTCCACAGTCTTTCACTTCCTTTTAGTGGATCATAGTGGTGTTAGGTCTCTGAATGTTAAAGACCTTGACTTAATGTTAGGTCTCTGAATGTTGGGTCTCAGAGAACTTGACTTACAGACAGAGCCATGTCTGCAAGAAAACAACAAAACGTCTGTTGGCCTGAACCTGCAGAGAGAACCCAGCTTGCGATAACAGAAAATGCCCCCAAACAGCTACTGGCTTATAGGCAGTCAGCATTTTCTGTTCAAACAATGCTACCCTGTCATCACCAGCTCTATATAACCCTCCTCACCCCCTCCCTTGGGGCTGCAAATCTCCTTTAGACATGCAGCCCAGGCTGTAGCCATCTTTGCTCA